AGATAAAATTAAATCATTAATGTTAAGTATTATGTAAATATAAGTGGTTGTTAGACCATGATGCTTGCCAGGATTCTAGATTCTGCTGTTTTATGCCTAAAAAGTCCTTCATTCCTTAGTTTTGGCTGCTTCGTGTCCCTCTTATCCAGTGACCTGACCCCTTGACCCCACCAATCTATTTTTGTAGTCCCCCTAAGTAGAGTACTAATGAATCCTTCATGACCTTAAGGCCCAAGAAAAGGCTAAATGAAGTTACAGAATCACAGAATTTGAGAGTTGGAAGGGATGTCATTGGCCAACTAGTCCAGACCAATCATGAAGAAATCCCCACCTAACATACTTGACAAGAGGCCTTCAGGAAGGGGAATTGCCCATCTCTTAAGGGAAGTCATTCTCCTTTTGTCAGAAAGTATTTTTCTTGATATCAAGCCAAAATTAATCCTAATTTTTTAAGCCTTAGGAATCATAGATTTTAAGACTGGCAGAACTTACTGTTCATCTATTCCAGGCGCCCGCTCCCATTTTGCAGATGACAAAACTGAGGCCCAAAGAAGTGTCAAGTAAGTAAATAGCAGAGCTAGAAAATCACACTTCAGGTGTTTTGATTCCCAAGCCAGGACTTTTTGCGTTACAAACCATGTTGAAAGATTTTCAGTCTCTTTTATTCTCCTGCACAAACAGGAGGCTAGTCAGGAAGACAGAATGATAAGCAAAGTTCCCCATAGCTCTCCTGTCCATTTCTACTCTTGGCATTCTCTGACTTTCTAAGTCAAGCCCTTGAGGCTCAGTCTTGAGCAAGGTGTGGGGGGTGGGGCAGATAACATCGCTATTGGAGCATCTTCTGCAGCCAGGGCCTCATTGTGTAATGCTCTGGTAACTTCCTAAGACTCAGGTTCATATCATGAGGACATTAAATGGTAATTTACTTATCTTGGCTCATTTGCTCTCACCTGGTTTGAAAAAAGCTGGGAAAATCTGAAGTTAATTCTAGCCTAAGTATTTGGTTATTCACTATGCTGACAGATCCAGGCAAGAATGCAGCCTTGAAATGATAAAACATTTAATGGGGCCAGAAATAAATAATAATAAGATGAAACAGATTCACTTGCTTCATCACCTGTGGTCTCTGATGCCTCTCCTGGCCTAGTGCTCCTACTCTAAGTGATTGCAGACCACAGTAGTGGCCTTCAGTAAACCTTCATCCTTGTGCATCAAAAATGTGTTCAGCAAACCTCAACAACTATCGGTAGTCAGGTGGTGGGAATAGTGATGGTGGGGGTAACTTCTTCCTTGTCCCCCAGGACGCCCAGTGCATCTTTCTGCTTCTCTGGCAAATGGTGAGGGGAAGGTGTTGCATACAGACGAGCCTCATGCTCTGAGATGTCTTGCTCGTCTCCCTCTCCCCCTCCTCGGTGCTACCTAACAGGGGCTTGGTTCTGCCAGAATCGTTTCTGTTTGTCAGTTCATCTGTTTTGATTCTGAGTCCTTTCCTACCGCCTTCCAGAGGCACAGTGATTTCAGCTGGGGTCTGGAGGAGTCTGTGATCCTAAGTTCTAGGGAATAGATCTTCAGTACCGTATGACTTTAAACAAATCCTCCAGGGTTTTAGAGATGGCCAAGATTTAGGAATCCAAAGAAGTATAAGACAGCTTGAAATATAATGGAAGGAACATTGTCCTGGCAGTGAGGAAATCTGGATTCTAATCTTAGAGTCTACAGTAATCAGCAGTGTGATCGATCACCTCTCTGGACCCAATTTTGTTTTCCTTTCAATCTCCTCATCAGTAAAATGATGCAATTGGATGAACTCTGAGTGGTAGAGCTTCAAGGGGGCTTACTTTACTCCATTTTGAAAAATATGGGCTGTGTTCATGGCTAGTTGGTGAGAGAGGGTACGAGGGCCCAGTCTCTCTCCAGACCCCAGGCACACTCATCTGTCTGTAGGGTCTTTGCTTAGCTGTGCCTTGACTTGCCCAGGGTATCAAGATATGCAGACTAGCAGTACCATGAAAACTCCAAGCATCCTTCAGTCCTGGAGGCTGCATGTTAGAGGCTGAGGGAGCAATTTTTCCTACACTCCCCATTTATGCCCTAAGTCGAGGATGGAGGCGGCTTATCTAATCTGGACTGAAGAGAGCTCTGGAAAATCCCTGTGAGGCTCAGGCGGGAGAGAAGAAAATTTAAATATAACCAAACGGCAATTAGTGCATTCCCCTTGGGTGGTCCTGGCCTGACTAGATTGGCTATATCAGAGTTCCCGTACTCAGTGCCAGGGCCTTGGTTCCTTCAGGAGGCTGAGTACCTCCCAAGGAGTGGGCCTGGTGATGCAGCCAAAGACGGTGTGTTCTGGGTTGCTGGGTGAGTGAGATGTTGCTCAGTGTGGCATGTGTGGCATGGAGGGGAGGGCCCACTGGGGTAAGCTAGCAGGTGGCCTGAGATTGGTTCTTTTCATGGCTAAGGAACCCTGGCCTGGGAGTCAAGAGGGCTGGGTTGGAGTCCCAACTCTGCTCCTAACTTACTGCGTGGGTTTAGGGAGTTACTTAACCTCTTCTCCTGTGTCAAAATAGGAGGTTGATCTAGAATAATCTCTAAAGTTACTTCCAGCTCTTAAATCTAACCCTGGCTCTGTTTACAAGCTGTGTGGTATTGGGCAAGTGACAACTTCTCTAAATCTTATTTATAAAATTTAAGGAGGGCAGCCAGGTGGTGCCTGGAGTTAGGAAGACTCAGAAACTTCCTAGCTGCATGACCCTGGACAAGTCACTAGAGAAGGAAATGGCAAACCACTCCAGTATCTTTGCTGAGAAAACCCAATGGACAGAGGTCTACAGAGTCATGAAGAGTCTAACATGACTGAAATGACTGAACAAATTTAAGGAAATTGCCAAAACCAGCCATGTTTTTATTCCTCTCCAAGTTCCCCACCACTGAGGCTCTGGACTTTCTCCACCAGGCCCTGAGGGGCACCTTCTCCCTCCAGCCCCCTCTCCCCATTCCCTCCTTTAGCTTCCTTTTGAGTGTTGTCTTCTTCGATTAGAATGCCTTGTCTTTGTGTTCCCAGCCCTTAGCACTGTGTCTGGCTCACAATAAGCACTTGACTTGACTTGACTTGACTACTTGTATTAACTATACCATAATAGGCCATAAACTTTAAAATACTAAAGGAATCAAGGTAATGATGATTCTCCTCTTCTTCCTCTTCCTACTTCATTCTCTATCCAGTTATGTTTTAGTTCCCTTACAATGCCCACTGCTGGATGTCCAGAGCAGCCCCAGGGTACCTGAGGTTCAGTTCAGGTTTTTTTTTTTTCAGTCATGTTTGACTCTTCCTGACCCTGCTTCGGGTTTTCTTGGCAGAGATACTGAAACGGTTTGCCATTTCCTTCTCCAGCTCATTTTACAGATGAGGAAATGAGGGAGACAGGGTTAAGTGACTTGCCCAGGGTCACATAGCTAGTAAGTATCTGAGGCCAAATTTGAAGTCAGGAAGATGAGTCTCTAGACACTACTGTCCTTTCCTCTTAAATTCCTTAAATTTAACTGGACGAGTCATTGAAATAGAATGCTGAGGAAGGACTTAAGGCTACTACAATAACTACTTTTAATAGTTCAGATGATGAAAACACAGGCAGGGCAGGAATGGGGGGAGGGGGAATCTTACAACTTGCCCAAAGTTTCTCAACAATTTTTCTGTAGCCTTAAAGTGCTCTGAGGTTTTCCGTCCTCACCTGGTGGCAACTGATCCCACAAGGCTCCTCCTTTGAATGGCTGGGTAAGAAAGCCCTAGTGGTTTGATGACATTTGGGCAAAGATTCTATGCCTGGGCTTGGTTCCATTTTCTTGGGTCAGGATTGTGGGAAAACCTTCTGGAATCTGAGGGGGAGAGGGGGCTGGGTGGGATGGCTTGGCCTTTGGGAAAGTTATTCTGGCTGGCAGCAGTTCCAGATAAGTTTAGTGGATATTCTTATAGCCCTAGAGATTCCCCTCACTAGTCAGTTGCTTAGCTCTCCCTTCTCAGCTGTCCCTCCTATGTCGGCTCCCTCCCTCTACCCTGACAAAAGAATAAAGCCTACAGCTAACGTCTCCCTTACTGCAGGCTCCTTGAGCCCCCAGTGCACAGGCGTTCAGAAAGTCCACACCCCGGCAGTCTCATGGATTCTAGCCTTGACTCTGCCACGAATACAGTCTGCATTCATGGGCCCTCTGTCCCCTGGCAATCACTTTCTTTGTGTGGACAATGTGATATAATGAAAAGAACCCTGGAATTGGAATCAGGAGAGCCCTGGGCTCAGACGTGGGGCAACATATGGCTCTCATGGAAATCCATGTGAGAGAGAGGGAAGGAACCTTAGGGGATCATCTAGTCCATCCCCATATTTAACAAATGAGGAAACTGAGACCCAGAGACGTGAAAGGACTGACCTCAGGTTACACAAGGAGTAAAATAGAAGAGTTGGGATTTTAACTCAGTTCCTCTGATGCCTAATCCAGTATTCTTTATCCTAGACCCCATTGCCTCTCCTCTAAGATTGTAAAGTACTGAACTCACAGAGTGGTGAAGTTTAAGCCAGCTAATGGATGTAAAGTCCTTTGTAAGCTTTATAGAACTTTACAAAGGTTGTCAAAGATGATGATGATGGTGAGGAAGGGATTGGACTAATGACCTGTCAATGCTAAAATTTTGATTCAAAGAAGGTCTATACATTCCTTTGTCCCTAAACCTACAATAGGCTGACTTCATTCCTGAGGACACCATGGATGTTTGCAGTCTCTCTGTGATTTCACCACACACTGGCTTCCTAGAGAGCAGGAAGGTAGGTCTCCCTCCTTTATGTCTCTTCATGGAGTTGAATACAGGGCCAGGAGGTTCCTGCTGGGTTAGTGGGTAATCCCAGATCACACCTCTTCACCTGCTGTGAGCTCCCATCCTGTACCCTGGCTTCATCAGTCATAGAAAAGGAGCAAAGAAAACCCAAGGAAGACAAGAGACTCATTTTCTCTCTTTATTAGCATTTTTACTTTCTTGAAGCCTGATTATTTCAGACTTGGAGGATGAAAAACAAAAGGTAGCCTGGCCTCTGCCTCCAGTGGGAGCTCCTAAGATAAATGTTTGCGGGAGCCCTCTTTGAGGCCAGGGATGCAGTTCCAAGTATCAGACTACTCTTTCTCTGACCTTGGACTATCATGGCCTCTCCCCTCCCCAATCACCCTGCTCCCTCCTCCAGTCCTAACCTAACCCACACAACCACTCATTCATCACTTGGAACACTGCTCCTGGGTGCAGCAAACAGGATAGGCACGGCTCAGCAGGGTGGAAGGTGTTGTCCGGAGCCAAAATGTTTCTCCTGGGAAGACGGTGGCTTTCCTTGGCCCAAGTGCAGGGTACAGTCGATCTGGTCCCTCAGCACCTCCAGTTCTTCCTCCAACATCCGGGATGCACTTGGGACCCCTGAGACCAAGACGACAAAGTGGGGCCCTGGGGACAACCCTCCACTCACTCCCCCGTGTTCCTGAACACATCACCTGTCAGTGATCTCTGACCAATGACTTTCTGAGCTTTAAATTGGCTTTATCATCTAGGCCTACCTATCCCTGTTAGCTTCCTTTCACTACTTTCACCTGCCTACAGGCAGCTAGGTGACAGCGGATAGACCATTGATCTGAGTTCAAATCCTGTCTCACTTGTTAACTGTGTGACCCTGGGCAAGTCACTTTACCTCCATCTGCCTCTGTTTCCTTGACTGTAAAATGGGGATAATAATAGCATCTGCATTTCAGGGTTGTTGTGAAGATGAAATGAGACAATATTTGTAAAGCACCTGGCACATAGTAGGCATTTGATAAATGCTCATTTCTTTTTTTCTTTCTTTTCCTTCCTTCCTTCCTTCCTTCCTTCCTTCCTTCCTTCCTTCCTTCCTTCCTTCCTTCCTTCCTTCCTTCCTTCCTTCCTTCCATCTTTCCCTCCTTCCTTCCCTCCTTCCCTCCTTCCCTCCCTCCTTCCCTCCTTCCTTTCTTCTTTCCTTCCTTCCTTCCTTCCTTCCTTCCTTCCTTCCTTCCTTCCTTCCTTCCTTCCTTCCTTCCTTCCTTCCTTCCTTCCTTCCTTCCTACAGTGACTTCCTTCCACTGTTAATGCCTATGGTACCTGCCTATTTACTCTAAGGTAGCACCTAGTAGTGTGAGCCAGCTAGCTTTTAACATCCTTCTTTCTCCCTCACTAAACTATAAATATGTTAAAGGCAGGGACCATCTTTGCTGTATCTTTGGATTTCCCTCCAGGCCTTGCCCATAATAATTACTTAGTATTTCTGTTCAGGGATTGATAATAAAGTACCCACCATGTCAGACACTGGAGATGCAAAGATAAAAAAATCACATTAGTGTTATCAAGTAGCTTTCAGTCTGATGCTGGAAATTGAGCACATATACACAAGTGCACACTTATACATATATATATTATGTATAAACTGTCAATTAGAAAATGAGTGTATAAGAAAAGTATGAAGTACTATGAGATAAGCATGAGCGGCCCAGTGAGTCCTTGGTTGCTGCTGCATGCTCTCAGGTCTGAGATTTCCCTCTCCTCAACGGTCCCATCTCTCACCTCCTGGCCTCCAAGGTGTGCTGCAGGGACCCTGGGGTAGAGGTGGTGCTGAGGGCATGACTTGGCTTGCTCTTCCAGAGGTTTCCTCTTTTGCCAACGTCTCTGCCAAGAAGTGAGCCCAGGCCCATTCACTGCTTTTCCTGGGGGAGGGTGGTGGGTGAGTAAGTGGCGCTATGTCCCCAGCATCCTCCTTTCCTTTCCCTGCCCCATGTTGTGGAGCCCTCACTTACCTTTTCACAGGGTGCTCCTTGAGGTTAGGGCCTGGTGGTGGGGCAATGGTTTGGGTCTGGACCTGAGGGCTGGAAACCTCCATCTTCCATGGGGTCTTGGTTTGGGCACCAAATACATGCAGTGGAGGCAGCTCTGAAAAAATCTGGGAGGGCAGATATCCTGGAAGGAGTGAGCCTTCTCTCCTCTGGAAAGATGATTGGTCAATTAGCATTTTCCCTTCCAGCTCCTCTTCCTCATTCTTCTTTCAGAATCCCCAGATATACTAGGCACTGTGGTAGAAAAGATACTGGACCAAGACTCTTTCTAGTCCCTCTTCTGTGGGCAAAGCACAGAAGCCTATGGGTAGCTAGCACTTAGAAAATATTTATTGAATATTGAATTTCACTCACTTATTGTATGACCTTGGGCAAATCATAACTTCTGAGGATCTCAGTTCCTTAATCTATAAAATGTTGATGATGTCTGCCCTGTTGATCTCACATTGTTGGTTGAGAATCAAGATGAAACAATATAGACTGATCGAATGTTAAAGTTGGCAGGGAAATGAGAGAATATGTAATCTAACTTCTTCATTTAAGGTTGTATAAAGAAAACTCATTGACTAGATCGTATTTATCACTGAAAATATTAGTACATAAAAGATACAAGCCTTTGAAAAAGAACAAATAGAATATAATGTTGTTTTGGCTAAAATACTAAATGCTATATTTGGAGGGGGGAAATTCAGTATTAATTCCTTTTCTTTACTTCATTTCACAATCAAAAAATCATTTCAAATTCATAATGAAAAAGACAACAAAAGGAATACAGGAAAAGTTATTGTTGATTCCAAAATAAAATTCCTATCTTACAGAAAAAAAATTGTGAAAAGTAGTAGCAGCAGCTTTTAGGAAAACCTACAGGAAAATTAGTATAAAATATATGGATTTCATTTGATTTGTGAATTTAGTTATAGTAGTAGGTTTAGGAAAGAGACAAATTATGCTCCTTAATGACAACATAAATATCAAATCAGTAAAAAAAAAAAAAGAAGTCAAGTCTAACTACTATAACACAAAAATAGATGGATAACACTCTCCTATAAAAAGAAAGGTATGGAATAATGTGAAAATACATGGGAAGGTTAAGATTAAAAGGGTTGATTAAATAAACCATCCAATATCCATTTTTTGGGGAAAAAAACTAGAATAGAAACATATCTGATCTCTGCTACTGATAGAGTCCAAAACCAGAGGCACTAAGAGAATATTACGACACACTAATAGAATAATAAGCTACAAATTTTACAATACTAAAATTGCATGTACTGACTAACACAGCAATTAAGTTCATAAAAGAAAAGCTAATAACATTACAAGAAAAAATTTGGGCATACTCAGCCTAATGGAATTAATTAGTTCTTTGAAAATATATTAGACATAGCATAATTTTGTTTAATATAAGGCAGTTAGTTCTACAGGAACAATATTATGAATGCTGTAAAGTATTATAAATTGATAACTAACTGAAGGTTACCCATTGTAGTGGAGTTTGGTTATGTTGTATAAATGATGCTATTGTAAAATTATATTGGTCAGGGAAAATGTATTTAGGGTCTTTAGGAAATCCTAACACTCCCGCATTATCCAGAATATAATAAATTTAGCAAAATGTACACATCGTAACTTTTAATAGTTCAGTGAACAAAGTATAGTCAAAATATCTTCTTAGAACTCAATGGAAAAAGCAGGGAATAGACATTTTTTCCCCAAGGACACATGGAGCTCTCATATAAATCGATCATATACTCAGACACTAAGAAAACCTTAACATATTGCATTTCTGTCTTGCTGCATTTAACATTGTTTGGCCACAGTATAACAAAACTAGAAATATCAATTTCCCCAAAGGTGCAGTTTACATGGATTTAAAAAAAATAATTAAACAATAATTGAGTCAAAGTAAAACCAATCCCTTTGGTGCTACTGGAGAGGAGTCCATGTTGGAGTGGGGGCTGGGGGTTAGGGCAAGCACAGCCAACTCAAAGAATTGGGAGGAACCTTAGAGATTGAATTAAACTCATATCTGAACAGGAATTTTATATATAATACACTTGGTAAGTGGTCATCCAGACTCTAGTTGAAGATATACAGTGATGGGGACCCCACTATCCTCTGAAGCAGATAATAGTTTTTAAGGAAGGATGTCAGGATAAAAATCCCTAGCAATTAGAGCCATCCAAATGTGGCGTGAAGAACTAAACTCAATTGACTAGATGTCATTTGAACAGAAATCTGTGAGACTATCAACTCTTCATTCTGGATGTGAAGTATTCTCTATTAATGGAATTGAAGAGTTCTTTAACTTTGGTGGCTGCCATTTCATCCCATCGATTCCTATTGAGTGTGCAGCCCACAGAACATCTGGCAGAAGCATTACCTGCCCCTGTTGCAAGAGTTAACTGGCCAATAAGTTCAAAATATAATGTTCTGAAGCAACAGATTGGTTTATTTCATGAATAAAAGGCCCTACACAATAGAGAATGTCATGTTCTGGGTTGTGGTCTCCTTACAAAAGAGAGATGCAGAGTTCAGGGACTAGATAGAAATGGGTCAGTCTCCATGGATCAACACAGCAAACCCACCTGAGAAATTTTCTGGTCAGCTCACTGAACTCTCTGGCTTTCTAGATTAGACCAGTTTATTTGTGAACCTAAATCTAGACTGTTCCAGTCCAAACTGACCAGGGTGGCTTTTTGAGCCTTCTGCCTTCAGTGCTGGTATGGCCTACTTCCTTTTTGGGAACACCATACCTTACAGAAGACAGCCCCTTGCTAGGTCATTTGACTACTTGTGTGGCAATTCCACTAGACCTTTCAAAACTATGGCTAGGGAAGAAATTCTTTTTTAGGCAATTGGGGTTAAGTGACTTGCCCAGGGTCACACATAGTAAGTGTCAAGTGTTTGATCTGAGGCCAGATTTGAACTCAGGTCCTCCTGACTTCAGGGCCGGCGCTCTATCCACTGTGCCACCTAGCTGCCCCTAGAGAAGAAATTCTTAATCAAACAAGGGATAAAGGAGATCCTAAAAGAGAAAGCAATTTTGGCTACATGAAATTAAAAAATGTTTGCATGAACAAAATCAATGCAGCTAGAAAGACAAGAAGGTAAACAATTAATTAAAGAGGTTTTTTGCATCAGATATCTCTAATAAAAGTCTGACATTTAAGGTATATAGGGAATTAATACAAATGTATCATGAACAAGAACCGTTCTCAATAGACAAGTGGTCAAAGGAAATGAACAAATAATTTTCAAAGGGGAAAAGATATATTATTAACAACCATAATCCTAATCACCCAAATCACTATTAAGAGAAATGCACATCAAGGCAGCTCTGAAGTCTCACTTCTCATCCAGGAAATTAGTAAAAACTACAAGGCAATTTAAGCTGGTCAAAATGATGATTTTATGTCACACCTCAAGAGACCTGCCCTATAGCTTCTTGCTTCTTTTTTAACTTAATTGGAATTTCAATCCTGCCTACCTTAAGGATTTGCCTTCTTGTTAATCTATCTTGATCTGCACTGGCCCCTCATACAAGTCCCATTTTCCAACTGGCAGGTACAGAGCCTCACAGATGGGCTTATGGGACAGTCATAGAAATTCTCAAAGCATGAGCAAGAACAATGTGTTTTTTAACATTATTCATCTTGTTCAAGTAGGATTGATTATGTTCAATTAGAGAATTCAAGGTAATCAACCCAAATTGAGACAATGTGTTAAAAGATAACAACTCACATTTATATAGTGCTTAAGGTCTGCAGTGCTTTCCTTCTGATTTGCCTGTGAGATAAATAATACCAAAAAAAAAATCATTCCCATCCTGTGGATGAGAAATCTAAGAGGTTAAGCAATCCATTTATGCATAATCATCCAGCTAGTAGAAGGGGTAGGATGCAAACTCAGTCTCCTCACTTCAAATCCAACACTGTCCACCATGTTGCCTCTGAGATGTCAAACCACAAAAGTCCTCTATGCCATTTTATGGTACAAATGAGAGATGGAACAATGAATAAAACGCACCATTGACAATAAATGCAAGAAAACAAATTATTTACCAAGATACACATGAGATTTTTTTTAAAGAAAATTACAAAACCTTCATAGGAGAAATAAGAGAATGTAACAAGCAGAAACATTTTTCCTGCATTGATATAAGGATAAATGACTAATAAACATATTAATACCCCCCCAAATTAATCTACAGACTAAGTTCAGTACCAAAATATCTTTTTATAGAACTGGAAAAAATAAAGTGTATTTGGATAAACAGATGGATAAGAATTTAAAGAGTCTTTGGAAAGACTTTTCATCCCCTCTTCAGCAGCTTTTCATCCCCTCTAAATTTGACTAGACAGTAATTATCAATATTTCTTCTACTGGTTGAAAAAGTGTGAAGTGTGTGTGTGTGTGTGTGTGTGTGTGTGTGTGTGAAAGAGAGAGAGAGAGAGACAGACAGACAGAGATAGAGATAGAGAGACAAATAGAGAGACAGACAGAGACAGACACAGAGACAGAGAGAGACAGAGACAGAGAGAGATAAAGAGATCGAGAGGGAGAGAGGGAGACAGAGATAGAAAGATGGAGAATCAGTGGAACAGAAGGATCCTAGAAATAGAATTGAATATATACCAAAAGTTAGTGTATGATAAACCTATAAACAAAACAGGAAAAGAACATTCTAATATATGCTTTGGGGAAAACTGGATTACAATATGACACTTCATTTCCTCACAAGTCTTTGGCTCTTTTTTCTTCTCTATATATTTTCCTTTGGCAATTTCATGATCTCCTAAGGTTTCGTTATACATCTATGCAGAAGGAATTCCAAATTTATCTCCCCACCCTTGATTTCTCCTTGGAGCTCTGGTCCATACCTTCAGCTATTGGCTGGACATCATCAGTAACCTCACAAAGTCGATATGTTCCACATGGAATTTGTCTTCCCCTTGCCCAAATTTCTCTGTGAAGCTTTGTTCTTTCTGTTGATTCTGTTGTTTTGTCCCAGTTACCAAGGTCTAAAACTTTGGCATCATCTTTGAACCTTCCCTTTCTGCCTCAAATCTTTGCGTGCAAATCAGTTGCCAAGTTCTTTTGATTCTATGTATGCAATCCAATAACCATGGCCTCTTTTACACTTATATTTGCTAGTAGCCTGGTCCAGGACCTCATCATCTATTACTTCGATGCTGTAATTATCTCCTTCCTGGTCATTCTGCCTCCAATATCTTTCCTTCTCCAATCCATCCATCACACAATTACTAAATTCTTACTGATGCTCAGATATAGCCAGGTAATTTCCCTCCTTAAGAATCTTCTGTGGTACATTATTGTCAAAGGGTAAAGTACAAACCCCTTAGACATGGGAATTAAAGCTCTCTACAATCTGAATCCAAATGACCTTTCCAATCTTATTTCATACTACTTGCCTTTATTCACTCTAAGGTTTTCTCTGATCATATCTTTCCCTCTTCTATTTCTATGTATTTACCTAGACTTCCTGGTATGCCTGAAATGAACTCCCTTCAAAACTACACAAGTTGAAATTGTCTGCCTTTAAGGATCATCTCAAGTGCTGTATTCTCCATGAGACTTCCTAACTCCTCCTCAGTTGTCAGTACTCTCTCTGCCTCAGATACCTGCCTCTTAGCTGTGTGACCCTGTGTAAGTCAATCTCCCAAGGTGGATTAAGTCCTTCCTGTGTAAAATAAGCAGGTTAGACTAGATTGCTTCTGGGTATCTTCTATATCTAAATCTATGAGTCAATCACCTGGATTTCTTCTTTTCTTTTATCACTTTCAACTTTATCTCATTATCATTTGTATGTGTGTAATATACTCCTGATCAAATTGTAAGCTTTTTGAGGCCAGGGCCATGTCATATTTTATCCTTGGATCCTCCAAACACAGTGCTTCATACATTTTGGGTGTTTAATTGATGCTTATTGAATTGAATGCTTTACATCTCATACAACAATCACCTACAAATGGAGTAATGAGAAACTGGAAAAAAGATGAAAAAAGTTAGGAGACAACGGAATAACATTTGTGACAAATATGATGGGCAGAAAAATTTTAGTCCCTGGAAGAATGAAATTATGATGGTCCAAATAAATAGATTTGATTACATAAAAATAAAAAATCTGTACAACAAAAAATAAAATTATAAAAAGTAACTGATTTTGATAACATCATACCTGAAAGGCTTCTTACAGAAGGTGAAATTTTAGCTGAGATTTGAAGGAAGCCAGAGGGTAGAGGTGAGAAAGAAGAGAATTCCAGGTATGAGGGACAAGTGAAAACACATGGAGTGGGAAATGGAGAGTCTTATGTGAGTGCCAGTAAGGAGACCAGAATCACTGATTGCAGAGTATGCAGAAGTGAGTAAAATGTAATAAGATCGGAAAGGTAGGAAGGGGATAGATTATGAAGGGCTTTAAACACCAAATGGAGGATTTTATGACTGATCTTGGAGGCATTAGGGAGCCACTGGAGTTTATTGAAAAGGGGAATGACAGAGTCAGACCTGAGTTTTAGGAAGATCGTTTCACAGACCTAAATAATTAGAGAAATAGTAATTGTTTGTGGATAGACTAAACTAATATAATAAAAATAAGAATATTGCCTAAATCAATTTACTTATTCAGTGCCATACTGAAGTACCAAAGGATTATTTTAGAGAGATAGCAAAATGATAACTAAATTCAGCTAGAGGAACAAAAAGTCAAGAATCTCAAACAAAAAAATGAAAGAAATTGAAAGTGAGGAGGCATAGTAGCACCATATCTCAAACCATACTTCAAAACAATAGTCATCAAAACAATGTGGTACTGGTTAAGAAATAGAGAAGCTGACCAGTGGAATAGATTAGGAACACAACATATGTAAATGAATGAACCTAGTAGCCTGGTATTTGATAAACTCAAAGACCCTAGCTACTAGGGTAATGGCTCAGTATTTGACAAAAATTGCTGTAAAACTGGGAATTTATTCGGTAAAAATTAAATTTAGATCCACATCTCATACCACATACAAAGCTCCAAATGGATATATAACTTAAATATAAAAAGTTATACTATAAACAAATTAGAGGAGCAGGAAAGAAGTTACTTTTTGGATCTATGGCTGATGGAAGAGTTCATGAACAAATAACAGAAAGAGGATCACAGAAGATAGTTTTGATTACATAAAATTAAAATGTCTTTGTACAAACAAAGCTAATGAATCTAGATGAGAAAGGAAAACAGTTAATAGTGGAAAATATTTGTAGCATGTTTCTCTGATAAAGATTTCATAACCATAACATATTCACACATACTCATATAATATTTGTATGGATATATTATGGATATAAATCTTTATCAGAGAAATATGCTGCCAATATTTCCCCCAATTAGCACATACAATACTTGTGTGCATATGGAATGGATTCAAATTTATAAGAATAAGAGCCATTTAATGATAAAAAGGATATGAATGGTTAATTCTCAAAGGAAGAAATCCAAAATATCTATAGACATATAAAAAACCTTATGAATCACTAGTAATTATAGAAATGCAAAAAAACCCCAAACCAAAACCCATCTCTGAGATCCTACCTCATACCCATCAGATTAACAGAATTACCAAAAAAAAATTATAAATATTGAAGGACCTCCAAAAAAACAAGGACGTTGGTGCACTATTGGTGAAGCTGTGAATTGGAGCAGCTGCTCTGGAAAGCAAATTGGAACTATGCTCCAGATCCATATATCTTGCTAAGAGAGGAAAGCAAAGCTGGGAAGGCTATACACACATAAACATAGTTCAAATAGAGAAATCAACAAATGTAGCAGAAGGGGCTGGAAAAGGAAAAATGGAAAAAAATAATGTAAAATCTTTTTTTTTATATTTAGTTTTGACTGCTGTTTCATGTTGAGAAAGAGAAAAAGGGAAAGAAGGAAAAACCAATGCATTAGAAACCAAAAGCCCAAGAAATGAAACAATCAATCCTATTAAGGGCCTGCTCTGTGCTGGACATTGGTAGTCACTGGAAATACAAAGACAAAATAGTCCCTACCCTCAAGGAACTTATGTTGTATTAGGGAAAATAACATGTTCATAAATAAGTATAAAAAAAGATACACAAAATAAATCATAAGGTAAATTTTTGGAGAAAGAACTGAATTGGACTAAACCAAAAAAAGTTTCATGTAGTTTCATGTAACTTGAGTTGAAGGGAATAAGAGATTCTCAAAGACAGATATGAGGTGGGACTGCTTCAAGGCATGGTGTAGGAGATGGAGCATCATTTGAGGAAAAAGCATCCCAAGCCAGATTAACAAAATGGAAAACAGAGAACCTTGAACAACCTGATCTCAGAAAAAGAAATTTAATAAACTATAATTAAATTCCTAAAGGGAAGAGGGAAATGGCATAGATATATTTACAAGTGTATTCAATGATAGATATAAGGAAAAAAATGAATTCGGTGATATAGAAACTCAACAAAAATTGAGAAAGCAGGGACCTGATCAAACTTCTATGAGACAAATATGATGCTGATACTCAAATCGTGAGGCAATAAAACAGAATCATTGAATTGAAAAGTAAAAGAAAAACTGCAGAAAAAAAGAAAAAAGAGTATGACATTTCCATAAATCAGTAAAGAGAGATAAACATATATTTGGTTAGCAAATGGAAGAGATTGACAATAAGGTCTGTTATTTACTTGTATAAAAGTAAAAAAATTTTGTAATAAAGAATATTTAAGTAGAACAACTATTTAGGGGGCATGGTGGGCAG